AATAAAATTACTATGTTTTCATACTTCTATTCTGTTATGCACAATCCATGTATGGATCTATAAGGATCAGGGTTGAAGGAGTACCATCAGGCGGGAGGCCATTAGGGAAACAGAACCAGATCTACCATAGTGAGGCAAGGACAGCATAATAAGGCAGAAGCGCAAGAAAACGAACCCAATCTTCACATACAGTAAGAAGGTTTAAAGTTTGCAAATTTCTTTTAAAATTTTATGTGATACTTATATGCCAATTTGTATCCATTGTCATGAATAATGCCGTGGAGGGGGAGGGAAGAGAGGGAAGAGGCCACTGGTGAGAGAGATGGGAAGAGGGGAAGGGGAATGAGTGAAAAATTAGGGTTAAGAGTTTTCATATCGTCTGATTTTTGAAGAATTAAATTTGGTCCCTAATTTTTGAATTTGAAACTTTAAATCCCTGGAATTGTGTAATTTCCTCATTTTAAGAGGGGGTATTAGATCCTTCTAATGTGCACATGGGCTTTGGATTAGGGCTTACAATACTAGCCCAATGATAAAAGATTCTTCAAATCCAAATACGGAACGACGTCGCGAAGCTGGCATATGATAACATAACTCGATGGTTTCGGATTCTAAATCGAAGAAAAGAAAACCCTAATTTCACAAATTAAGGAAAAATAACAAAGAATGGGTGGAAAGTGCCCGCACAGGAGCGTGAAGAAGCGCCGGTACTCTCACAAAACTGCTCGTCGCACCAAATTTCTTCTTAAAGATATCCTTTTTTATTGTAGCTACTTCTTACTATCTTACGCTGATTTTTTGTTTATTCAAATGATGTTTTCTTAACTGTTTCTTGTTTACGCGACGATGCTGTTTATGATGATCTTCATAAAGCTGAGGGAGAGGGGAAACCCTTGCCCGTTGACGAAGATCTCCCTGGAATGGGCCAATATTACTGTCTACACTGCGAGTAATTTTTTTCATTTTGATTTTACCTCTGTAGGAAAATAGCTTACTGACTTTTCAATTCTAGTTATTGAGTTTTTTTAACTTTTGTTTTTATAGTCGGTATTTCGCTAACGTGGCTGTGAGGGATGATCATTTCAAGACTAAAAAGCATAGGAGACGGTATGTACAATCGAGGCTCTATATGCCATAATTTTTCAATTTGTGATGCTTGATTGATTTTTCATAAAATTATTGCTCTATTTCAAATTTAAAAAAATTGTTTTTCATGCTGCTTTTGTTTTTAGATCAGACTTTTTCTTGTTTAGTTGTTTGAAGAATATATACAGTGTGTGAACTGATTTGAAATTCAATGTTGGCATATTTTTTTTTTTGGTGGAAATTTGATCCTACAGAACAGTAGTTTATGGGCATCACTGATCTCCATAAGTGACATTCTTAGACACTTTCTCCTGCATCCAGATATCTTCAAACTTAAAAATTTAGGAAGTACGAGACATTTACTTAGATCCATATACGAGAAAAGCTGAACTGAGTTTTGAAGTTTATTCCCAGATTGATGAATGTTTGACTAACAATCAAGCTCTATCTGAATATTTAGCCATCTTAAATCCAACTTGAACTCTCCTAGGCTCCTAGCAAAAAGGACGTAGCCAGGATTTAACACAGGAGGGCTAGTGTATTTTTTTAAGCGAACTTGAGAAAAAATTATTTATATTTTTAAAAGAAAAACACTTGTGTCAGCAAGTGATAATATAGAATTCATGATTGTCAACAAAGAAGCATGCACAACAATTGAGAGCTGACAGTGAGAAATCTCAGAACCTGGTTTTTTTCTCCGTTTTATCATTTGTGATTTGTTTAGTGTTTTTTTACTGCTGGGTCGTCAGTCCTGGTATTAAATATGATGTAGAATTCTTTTAGAAATGCTAAACCCGAATATTTGTTTGGTTTTAAGAACATGTACTGAAAATCAGACATGCTCTTATTGTTCCAAAATTTAACCTGATTCCCAGTGCTCACCAACCAATGCAACCATGAAACGCCATCACTGCTGCAACTAATGCCGAATGAGAGACCACTTCTCTCTGATATAGGTATGTGGATGTGAGTAAGAAAGAGAGTGGAAGTTCAGCATCTTGCCCGTGTTTTTGGTTGCATCTGTTAGCAATAAAATGGCAAAAGAATTTTTAATATTTTCCTTTTATTTTACTTCTAATTTAATTTGATATAAAATGGGATACAGATCCGTAGGGTAAGTTATGTTGGGGTGATTTCTTTGCGTAAGGATTTTAGATGATAATTAAAATGAACTGAAGTATAATGCGTCCTACCAAGATAGCAAAATGATGTATTAATATATTTATAAACCTTAGTCGATGAGCTTATATTCAGTGGCAAAGGGAGGTGGGGGCCAGTGACTAACTGAAATCTGAGATATTATGATATATTGTGCTTGAAAAAGTTCTCTGTACTTAAATTCTGTACCCATTGGTTCCGAGTTGTGCCTCGACCATTGCTTGTATTGTTGAATCAAATTTTATGGACTGTGCATAGACAGGCTGAGGAGCACCTTTGCCAGTTGCTCATCTGCAGTTTAAAGTTTTACATATCCCCATGTTCGAAATTTTCTCTCAAGTGTGTGCTTTTTAGGTGGTAATTGTACTGATTTCATCACCTTGGTCTGTATGTTTTGAACTTTTACCTTTATGGTTGAGTAATTGAATAGTCACTTTCCTGGGCCTGTAACTAAGTACTTCAGCAATATTTTGATTAGAATGCTGATATTGTTCTTGCACAGTGTGAAGCAAATGATGGGGCCTGCACCTCACACACAACTGGATGCAGAACTAGCTGCTGGGATGGGAATGCCGGATAATGGTCCAAAGTTGATGTCAACGTGAGTTTGTCTCGTTGGGTTCTTGGACAATGTTGACGGAGATATCGTGTCTTCTTTTATGTTTGTTTAGACGACTGTTTAAATGGTTTAGTTGATCCATTTTTTCCAATTATCTTATGAAATTATAATAGTTCTTTTTCTTGTTTAATTCTTAGTACTTCTGTATTTTGTTGAGTAGCAATGGCTTAGAGCCCGGGATTGGCAACTTTTACCTTTTTAAGATTTTGATATCTGAAATCATCTATGCCAATTTTGCTACATTACAAGATTACATGCCCTCGTGTCAGATGGAGTTGTGATCAAGCTGCCCTTGTGTGACTCCGTCCATTTTGACATCCTACCTCGACCTCAGACTTACGCTAAAAATCAATGGAAAATTGACCAATAAAATTAATCAATTCGTAGCCACTCAATTTCTTGTGATTGCGTTGCACAGTTTAAATTTTAGTTTAATCTTAGTTAAAATATACATATTATCCGAAGTAGTTTTACCAATAAAAGCTACTAGTCGACTGCTAATTTAAGAAAAATATGCAATTTAATAATAATAAAATAATATCATGGGTCGAGCTCGTGATGACAACTAAGTTGTACTTTTACTGAGAGACTAACCACGTTCTCGGCTCGTCCCAAAGCGCAAGCCAGCTTGCCTAGGGAGCGGTGGCGAGCCAAACTCGTGCCCATTTAACGCCCCTAGCCATAAACATATGGTACATTTTGTGATTAAAGCGAACAGAGGTATGGTTATATGGTTTACTTAGAAAGATATGAAGTTAAAGAACATATATTATGATAAATTAAGATACACTCCACCAAAAGGTGAACAAAACAAGGGAACCAAAAATAACTTGTGGGTATGTAGAAATACTTCTTTTTAGTACTGTTTTCCTTCGACTCATTGGCCTTGGCGATCTTGAGAACTCATACCTAATACCATATTCACAGCTTCTCCATGGCTGAACCTCTGTAACTGTATCATACGTGCATAGATTCCATCGGGGTAGTTCTTCAATAAATGCGAGTGCGAACCTTGTTCTGCTACTCTCCCGTCATCTATCACGTTTATAACATGAGCATTTCTGATTGTCGATAGTCTATGTGCAACCACAATTGTCGTTTTTCCTGCACAGGCGCGATCCAGGGTTTCTTGTATACACCTCTCGGATTCCGCATCAAGCGCGCTTGTTGCCTCATCCAGCAGCATTATCTCCGCTTTCCTTAACAATGCGCGAGCAATCGCAATCCTTTGCTTCTGTCCTCCAGACATCTGAGTTCCTCTTTCCCCGACTAATGTTTTGTATCCATCGGGCAATGATGAAATGAACTTGTCAGCATTGGCCAAGTTTGCTGCTTCGACTATCTCAGCTTCGGTGGCAGACTCATTTCCGTAAGCGATATTTTCATAAATGGTGGTCGCAAAGAGGCAAGGTTCTTGTGGCACTGTGGCAATGTGGTGTCTCAATGACTTCAGATTGTATTTTCGGATATCCTTTCCATCGATCATAATGCGTCCAGACAACGGTTCGTAGAATCTTTGTACAAGTGCAATGACTGAGCTTTTACCACAACCACTAGGTCCAACAAGTGCAAGAGTTTTCCCTGCTCGGGCTCGAAGATTTAAATCCTGGAAAATTAAATCATCCGGCCGGGTCGGATAAGAGAAATCAACATGCTTAAATTCGACTTCACCACGAAGACGGTCAGGGACCGTGGTTGCGTCGGGATCATCAGGCTCAATTTCAGTTTTGCGGTCAAGAAGTTCAAACACCGAACGCATTGCTCGACCGCCTTTGATGAAGTCAGGGGCAAGCGTCAGAGTTTCGGCTGCACCATTGGCTGAGACCATAAGGACCATGAAAACTCGGATTGTCTTTGAGAAGTCTGAGATTCCATGCTGGACGAGCCAAGAGGCATACCAAAGACCAAGGGCATAGGAAGCATAGAGCAAAAATTGAGCTATTCCGTATCCACCTCCAGCTATCTGTCCTTTCCAAAAGCAGCGGCGCAATGGAGGTTGAAGGCTCGACGCGAAAAGACCAACTATTTTCGATTCTGAATTGAAGGCAGCGACTGTTCTTACATTAGCCACAGCTTCCCCGGCAAGTTGTGTGGCTTTGGCATGTGCACCTTCCAAGTCCCCGGAAAATCCACTCATGAACATTTTCTATAGAAAATTTTAAAGGGGCATAAGTTTATTATACGAAAATGTAAAAACTACTTTTTGTTGATTTCTTGAATAACAATGTTTGTGAGTTGTGGGATTACGAACCTGTAAAACAGTGGCTGCAACGACAACAGGAAAGACAGCAATGAGTACGAGGGCAAGGCGCCATTGCAATACAAATCCAGCAGTGCAGGCAACTAGCATAAGTGCAGAGTTCTGCATAATAACTGAAATCCTGTCCCCAATTGCTGACCTAACATTATTGGCATCCAGTGCCAGTCTCCCTGCAACTCTAGAACTTCCATTTTCGTCCTGATCAAACCACGCCATTTCATTTTTTATCACTGCTGCAAACATTTTCTCTCTCACTCGTTTTGTTAAGTTCTCTCCCACAACGTCCCAGAAGAAATGCTGCAACGTGTTGAATATAAGTGCCGCTGATGAAACACCAATTAAAAGATAACAATATTTCGCGATTTCTCTGATCATATAAGCATGATCTGGATTGTAGTAGACGCTAAGAACAGCGCTCAGCACGTAGGCGAAGAATGCACTAAGAGAGCCACAAATGATAGACCCTATAGAACCAACCAAAGCATAAACCCATTCTGGAGAGTTCATCTTCGCAAGGCGCCAAAATGAATTAGCTTGCTCTTTGAATGCAAGCTTTTCGAGTCTATAATTAGGATATGCACCGTCCAAGGATAGGCTGAAGTCTGAAGTAGAGAAATCTGACAGTCTTCTCGAGTAAGGTGATCGACCATAAGAAGAATTTCTGGTAATTATCGGTGAGCTTACAGAGTTCCTCGCACTAGATGGCCTGCAGAGAAAGAATCGCATCAACAAAACAAGACATCAGTTCATTACATATACTTAGAACTGAACTCAAGAAAACTTTTCAATTTTCATCAGATTATTGGAGAACAAAGTCAGACTAAGAGGGGATATATACCGGGCACTACTTTTTCTGGCATTATTGAGAGCAGTTTCGTGAGCTGCTTCCTGCATTCGGATAAGTTTTGCATAGATACCATTTTCTCCTTTAGCAATGAGCTGATCATGAGTTCCAATTTCAGAGATGGTACCATGCTGCAGTACAACCACAAGGTCAGCCTTTCGAATGGTGGAGAGGCGATGTGCAATGACTAGAGTTGTTCTTCCAATCATGAACCGATCTAATGCTTCTTGCACTAGCTTTTCCGATTCAGAATCCAAGGCACTAGTTGCCTCGTCCAATAGCAAGATTGCAGGGTTCTTGAGCATTGCCCTAGCAATAGCTACTCTCTGTTTCTGTCCCCCGGAGAGTTGCAATCCTCTCTCCCCAACCTGCCATTGCCAAATTATTATTTTAATAAATTTCATCTTTAAGGCTATGCATCCTCATGAAATTCTAAGAGGCTTATAAATGTCAATTTGATGGGACATCGAGCCTGACTTCAAGCCATGATTATTACTATACCTATCAAGGATGGCTTGATTTGAGCTTTGAGAACTTTCAAGCAATGTTAAATTGATACGAGGGTCAAAAACTTACATTTTAGAGTGTTGGATTCATTAAATAAAAATTTAACTTTATACTCAAAGTGAAGAACAAGCATGCCATGCTCGAGTGATTTTGTCATAATTTGAATATTGGATAACAAATATAGAAGTGCTGCATTGATATTTAAGTGCAGAATAATACTGCCAAGTTAAGATGTGTATATAATATGTCTATGTTGGCTAACCTGAGCATCATAGCCCTGCGGGAGCTTGACAATGAACGAATGTGCATTAGCAATTCTTGCAGCCTCTTCAACTTGTACTAAACTTGCATCAGGTCTCCCCAAAAGTATGTTTTCTTTGATGGTGGTGGCAAATAGTGCCGGCTCTTGGCTTACCAGTCCCATTTGCTCCCGAAGCCACCTCAACTTCAATGTCTTGATGTTGTGCCCGTCCAGCAAAACTTGTCCTGTGTAGTTGGTATTACGGATTAAGCCCTTATCCTAAGAGTGGTATTAATAGTTGGAAATTCACACAGATAAATAGTGATTCAACCTCAATGTGAGTTACGTCCACTCATTTCTACAAATTTTCACTATGAAGAGTATTACAATGATGATCTCATGCCTATGGCATCAATGTGTAGAAATGTGATTAATACTAGAAGGTAAAATCCTCACCTGAAGTAGGATCATAAAATCTCTCGATGAGGCATACGACTGTGCTTTTTCCAGAGCCACTGCTTCCAACCAAGGCTATTGTCTTCCCAGATGGAAGGGCAAGGGAGAAATTGTCAAGTATTTGAGTTTCCGGCCTTGAAGGGTAGGAGAAATCTACATTTTTTAGCTCTATTTGTCCTGTTACTGAATCTAATTCCAACCCCGACTCGCTGTTTCTGTCAACAGCCGGTTTGTGATCAATTATACGGAAGATTTTAGCAGCTGCAACTCTTGCCTTAGCAAATGCAGCCATGCTTGGAGCAGACTGTCCTAAAGCCCTATAAGTTAAAAAAGACTATTAGCACTACTAGTAATCTATGATAATGTCTTTAACCGTGTTTAACCGGCTCAAGAGAATAAGATTTTAGCTTCTTTTTTCTTTTCATAATACACTCGAGCACTATCCAATCAGACAAAGACAAAGTAAGATCAAATGTACGGAGATGTAAGAACTTACAGTCCACCGATCATAACTGCAAACATTGTGGCTATGGCAAGTCCTCCATTGGTGAAATGGTGCCTAACTAAATAACCTCCATACCAAAGTAGAAGGGCATAACAGCAAAAAACAGTAAAATATGTAGCTCCCAATCCCATTCCCTTTGCAAATCCAATCCTGTAACCAATTCTCTGGGCTACCTTCAATGCTGCAGAGTATGCCTGTAATGCCTTTGATTCACCGACAAATGCCAATACTGTCCGAACTTGAGCGATTGTCTGCAATTTTTGGCCCAAATTTAGCCTTTTTCACTTGGAACTAATTTTAGTTTCAATAATTATACAACAATTTTCACCTGTTCTGCAATATTTCCTGCCTGAGAAAGGGCTTCTTGGCTTTTGCCAGAAAGCTTTGCTAATGTTGTTGTATGAATGCCGCCAATTATTGCAATCAGAGGAACTACAGCAAGAGTGACCAGAGCTAATTGCCACACTGCAGTGAAACCAACCACAAACCCAGATACAAATGTTGCCATATAGTGTAAAAAATTACCCAACTGCAGTAAAAAAACAAAAATTACTTCTATCAGAATTCTAAATATAGACAGTTTCAAATATGTCATGTTTAAGTATAAATAAATTATAGATTCGTTCATTGTATTGTCCAGTGTACCACCTTCTCACTAATGGCATCTTGGACCATCACTGCATCAGTGTTAACAGCATAAACAACATCGGAAGTGCGAAAATCTGTATCGAAATATTGAATATCTTGATTCAAAGCAGCCTCTAAGTACTTGATCCTCATCTTTGTTGATTGCCTCTCCCCAGTCCACATCCAACATGATATTTCTGAAAAACAATCAAATTAGATATATTTCTTATTTCAATCAAGAAAATTCTTGACCGTCAATACTAAAATGGTAAAGATACCTGCCCATGAAGATGCCCATATTGCAGCTCCCACTACAAGAAAGTAATATGCATACTGCAAATAGCCATCAAAATAGAAATAATTTAATTTTCACATGACTATAATTCAAGAAAATGGATTTCAGTGGAACATTGAAGTTACCTTCAAAACCTCTTCTGTCATTTTATCAACATTGTTTGCATTGGAGCCAAAAGAATTGACAAGATCAGCAAAGAATCTAAGGAACAAAGGCAATGAACTTCCATGAACAATGGCACCAACTGTACCAATAGTCATCAGAAAATAATCCAGACCATCAGCAAATCTGAAAAGCTCCCCAAGCCCTACCGCAGGCGGCGGTGAACCTGGTTTCTCCGCATCACCACCACCACCATCTTTCTTATCTCCAGAGGTGGAAACTGCCATTGTTTCTTTTCTCTCTTGAGAGGTCCCCTCTTCTTCTTCCTTGACTTGTGCAGTCGTATTTACTGCTGTTTTTGCAGTTGAATTAATGTTGTTATGGCCTTTAATAGATGAAGGATTTTCTACTGACGAGTTATCTGAGTGAGCTGACACGACGAGTTCAAAGTCTTGCATTTCAGACCATTTCCACTGCTCTATCGTCTTTATTTCCACAGAATCTTGTGTCATTGCTTCAAACTTACGATTTCCAAAAATCAAACCAACACTCCTCCTTATCCTTCTCTCTCTAATTTTGTTTTATTAATATTGTCTCTCTCATTGTTATTGCTCTCATTTCTTCTGCAGCTGTAGCATGGCCAAGATAGGAAATAAACTGCTTTGTGCTTATTTTCTTGTTTTTTTACTCATTTCTAAAATTACTTTTTGCTTAGATTAATTTTTTTTTTTTTTTACAGGGTGTGAAAAATACTCAGACGCGCACTAGTGAACCGAAATGTCAATATGATTAGGATTATGCTACAGCATTATTCATATGATTAAAGCCAGAGAGGGGCCTAGAGAGAGAAGCTTTGGCACCCGACAGAGAATACTGTGTTTAAAGTTTAAACTTGGGATTGGGCTATCGACCAAAAGACAGATTTTCCAAAGATGCGTAAATTATAAGTAAAAGTGAAGAATGAAATTTACAGTAGTACGCTAACCTACGGATAATATTATCTAATATCAACAATTTTTAACACTAATTTAGGTATCTCATAGACCTCTAATTTAACGATACAAGTAATGTCATCTGAACTAGTGTTAAATATTAATAATACTGAGTGCTCGTTTGGTGAATATTAAAATTCAATTAAAATTGAAAATATAGTCGTTATTGTGTCTCACTCGTCTAATAAAAATCAACAATAACGGTTAGTTTTTCAATTTTAATTTGATTTTAATCTCTACCGAACACGCCCTAAATAACACTACTCTTATTAAATTAGTTCTTATCACTATTTGAGATAACAATAGAATTTATTGATTTATTATCAAATGAATTAAGAAGAGAGATGCTGCAGATTCAAGGCCAAAACCAGGCCCAAATCCAGGGGGCCGAGGTGGATGCACCTCGGCCCTTGATTTTAATTCATGTGGGGTCCTCTTCCTTTAAATCAGGGGCTGAGGTGATGACACATCATCCCTCTGTTTTTGGGTCGGTCATTGACCCTGGACAAGCAGATTAATTCT